TTTTCCATTAAGAAAGAAAATATAACTGATCTTAAATTACTAGTAAATCTTTTTTTACCGTAAACTAGAATTCTTTTAAATAACTATTTAAGAGGTATTGCATGACTGCACATAAAGCATCATCTGGTGTCATGAGAAATATTAAAACTCCATCTGTCATTTAGCGTTTTTCTAAGAAAGAACTTGTAAGGGATTTTTGGAGCCTTATTTTCCAGACTATTAAAAAGGTGCCCTAAATGTTTAGCTCATTCATAAATTGCAGTGCAATACTGACTTTGTGTTTCAGATGAGAGAGAAATAAATCTGTTAATTATGTGGTGCAGAAATGTTCATCTGTTTTTGTCTAAACTTTGTCACAGTGATGGACCACATAGTTCTAACCCATAATCTTCAGACTGTTGTTTTGTATAGAATACTTAATCTCCTACCAGTTAGCAAATTGCATATTATGCTTTTACTCAGGTTTTTTTGTGGTTTGTTCTTGTTTTTTATGCTAGACAAAACTAGGGAGGAAATGGGAAAGTAATTTCTTCCCCTAGAGGTTTAATGGAAAAAGTACATTATACTCATTGGCTAAATCATAGGAGTATGGAGGATAGCATTGGAATTGCATTCCACCTACATGATGTCATCTGCTATCCTCATAGTATTGGTATAATCCCTTTTGTGAACTCATCAATACTTCAAAGGAACTTAAGTGTTATGTAGCTCTGTGTTAGAGGCTGTCTTCAAACTTCAGACCTCTGATTTCCAGGTGAATGGTGAAATTTGAAAGGTTCATTTTTATGCCATTGTTCTCCTTGACTTAGGTAGCTCCTCTGTATCTTCTATGGTGTTTGTTTCCATTAATGTATTTAGAGAGAGCAGTCATACTCTCTTACAACTTCTTGTTTTGCTTGACTAAACAAGTCTTACTGTGAAATAAGCTTTCGGTTCCCATGTGAGTTTTCTTTCTCTAGCTATTCCAGTTAGAATTCATCTTTTTTTTGAGCACAAAGAGGTAAAATTTCATGGAGTCTTCTAAGTGAGATCTCACCAATGGTTTGTAGAAAGGCATTAAGAAATTCTTACTGCTTCTGAAGTTATAAATATTGCCTTGAGATGGATGAATTATTTATTTTACTTTATCTTCGTTCTTTATCACTTTTTTGTATCTTCTTATTTTTGCTCTAGTTTCCACTTTGGTTATGAGTTGCATGTTGGAAGAGATTGTTTATCCTAGTGTGGTGGTTCATTTGAGTGTTTAACATTATCGGTAATATCATCTACCCCGACTTTTGTTCTCTTTATGTTATATTGATTCCTTTGGCTTCCGTGTCACACATTGTCCTTTATTTTTGTCTGAACGAAACAGTTTGTTTTGATGGTTAGTCTTCTCTTTAAAAGGTTGATGGAGCCATTAGCTTCCAAAAGTTTTGATGTTGTTAGCAATTGGAAAAAACTTGGTAGATGTATGCTTATTACCTGGAGTGTAAACTGTGACCCACTGTCTGGAGTTGCCCACCTGGCTTTTCATGTAAAATTTGTGAGCAGCTTTTATTTGTTATGTGTTATATTCCCTACATGTCTTCCACTTGCACTCTGCCCTATTGTAATTCTCTGTAATGATTTTTATGAAATGTGCAAAACTTGTTTTGTGTTTGTTCTTGCTGAAATGTGAGTTGTACTAGATGCTTGTTCTTTTTAACAGCAAAACAAAAACTTCTGCATCTTGACTGCTTTCTTTTCATCAGTGATGTTGGAAACTTTCTTAGTATTCAAAATTTGTGCCAGAACAGATGGTGAATGGTGGGCTTTTTCTGAAGTAATGTCAGCTAAAATAACTTGTGCTGCTGGCAGTTCTTCCCTGTAACAGGGTTTTTGCTTAATTGGCACACTTACTTTCTCTTAGGAAGAACTGACTGGTTTAATGAATTTTTATTGTGAAGGCATGATTTCATTATTCTGGACCTGCAGTTGTTTATAACATGACAAATTCCTCAGCCTTTTTTTTAGTACCTGTGGCACCTTCTATTTGCCTGGATTGATGATGTTTTGGAAACAAGTAAGCCTAGTGGTGGTAGCTCTGGCTATCGATTTACCCAGCAGTTCATGTTGCGAATTATGCAGCATGACTTTTAGAAACCTACAGGTCTACCTGCAGGCTTCACTTCAAAGCATAATCCCCTGTATAGCAGGGCAACTTCTGTCTTTTAAGTAGGAAAGTTTACTGTTTGAGATAGATCAAATAAGAACTATGGAAGATAAGTATGTTAGTATTTTTGTACCACGCAGGGTGTGAGGGAATGCTGAGAGAGAATCTTAAGCTGATATTCTCAACGTGTTCTTTCTTACTTGTGTAAATTTGACATGTTCAGGGCATTAGCCTTCTGCTTTTCTAAAAGAGAAATTTTAACTTGGAGTCTAAGCCAGTGTCATCTAGTGGAAGCCTAGAATGGGGGTCTGACCTTTTATATATAATGAAATTCAATTTTGGACTACTGGTTTCTATAACTAGAATATGTGAAGTATTTAACTGTTACTATAGTTTGAGATGTCAAGATTAGAAGAAACTAGCTATCTACACCTATGTCAGGATATGGAAGAAGTTGCTTGTTTCGTGACTGTCTGATAAAGCTGGCTTTTATAGATTGGTACTACAGTGTATCCTCTTCCAAGCTGGGGGCATGCTTTGTATTGACTGTGTGCGCATGCAAATAATACTTGTTTCTCCATGACAATAATAGCCACAGTGATGCTGGTTTTACTCATCTTTGTGTTTTTTCTTAAGTTTTCATTACTTCAATATGAAAGAAAGGAATAGAGTGATAGCCTGTGGAGTTCTGTGGAATGATTTCCTCTGAGTTCTGAGCGTCCTGACTGGTCGTGAGCTGTGATTCAGTGTGGTTATAAACTTGGGTGCAAGCAAGCAAGATCTGCGTAGTATTGCAGTAGGCCCTTGTAGAAATTACTTTGTTGCCTTTCCTAATTGCTAGAAAGCTCTTCTGTTTTTAACTTCTGGTTTCTTTTAGTATTCACTGCTGCTGAAGCTCAGAAGCTTCCTTTGTTTTTTGTTTTTGCTGCTAGTAATGGAATCTGTCATTGATCATCGGCACTCATAAGCAGCCAGAACTACTGTTGGCATTTCTTTCTCTTACTGTTCAGTAAACAGGTGGACACAACAGCTCTTTTAGGTATTGAGATGATACGCTTAGCACATAGTTTGGGGCTATGCTTGAAGAATCAGTATAGTTAGTGAGGGTTTCAGTTGAGGCACTTCGCTTGTAGCAAACTCAAATGGAAATTTCTGCAGTGTATTCAAACATGTAAGTTTTCTCTCTAGTAAGAAAATCTATGTAAGCTTTCAGTGCTTCTGAGTTCAGCGATAATGTTTTTCCTACAAATTAACAAAAGTAATATCCATCTTTCCAGTGTAAACTGTCAGGCTTTACAACAATCTCTCAGTTGTAAAATTACCCTGAGTAAACATATGAGACTATCAGTAATTAAAGAAAATACATTACATTTCAGTCAAAACAAATACATTCCACAGTCCTGACAGAAAACAACTAATAAAAGAAGGGGGTCCCTATGTAAGCCACAGTACAAGCAGGCTCAGTTTCAGAAGAATTGGAAGATTGGTTCAGCACCTCTAAGGTCAGCAGCGTTTTTCATCAGTTTGTGGTCAGCATTGGGTTTTGAGCACTAACTAATCAAAGGACGTTGCTGTTATTGCCCCCAAAATCTTTTGAGTATGTTACAGTCTCAGTGGTTTTATTATTTTAACTGAGAGGTTCTTTAACCTCTGGTGTATTTTCAAAGGATTAGTGTGTAGTAAAATGAAGGTAAATGCTAAGTTTCTGGCACCTTAAAGACTGGGCCATCGGAGAGGAAGCGTGTTGGGGCAGAAGCAATTGACGTGGTGTATGTACATGTTTTTTATATAAAAGACTTCAGATAATTGATATACTTCTGTGTAAGTAAGTAAATCTATAACATCTTTTTTTAATTTATTATGAGGAATTAAGATTGTGATTCAATGCCAAAACCTGAAATGACTTTTCAGAAGCATATGGTGAAATTGGGCGTTGTCTCTCAATATAGAGATAAATAGCACTTACTTTAAAAAAACAAATAAAAACTTAATACATCTTAAATGACATAGGAGAGATATAACTACTTATCCACGTCACCAGATTTCTGTGTCACATCCTAATCTCATTAAAATATTTGAGAGCAGTGGTATTGAGGGAGGAGTCAACGAAACAACAGACTCTTTCAAAGTGTTTGAAACGGGCTCTGAAGTGGAGCGTAATTTTCACGCGGTCTGCGCATAAGCTGGTCATTATTCTCGACGTGAGTGTAATACCAGCCTGCCCACACCCCGCTCCCCTCCGTGGGCTGAGCAGGGTTCTGTGAACTCTCTGTGTGCGTACCGTTCGGTTTTAAACCATCGAGGAGATGAAGAAAACTGTAATAATTGTCTATTAGAAGTGTTCCATAGATGATGCTGGTGGTAGAGACTTCTGTTTTCATTGGATTTGTAAATTTTTTTCATGTTAAGTATATTTATCTGTAACTGTAATTCAGACATAACCATGAGGTTCTTGGTCCATGAGGGTTAAGGGCTAACTCAAAAAATCCTTGATCTGGAGAACTGGATGTTTCCCCAGAATAGTCTGCCAGCAACCTTACACTGCTCTGGGGCAACAGACTAGAAAGCCTTGTGTGTCTATATTACTCTAATGAGAGTGGGTGAAATGCAACAAAGTTTTCTAAGAACTATTACTGTATTTTATATTTAAGGTCCACACAACA